GACTCTGAGAGTGGTAGACATAGGTGGAAGGGAGATGGCCCCGGAAAAAGAGGGTCACCTTCAACCTGACTCCACACAGGGACAGGCAGATGCAGAGGGACAGGCAGCCACAGAAATCAACTTCTGAGACAGATTCCTGCACAGACACATGTGCTCCAGATACAGGCAGAGCAATGTTGAAAGAGACAGCCCCTCAGAGAGGTAGGCAGACACACAAGAAACAGACACAACACGGAGATACACTTAGTTACAAATTTCCCAGATCCACTCTGATCATCAGCTCTTCCTCAAAAGACCTCCGTTACTTCCAAGACTGATGTGCCAGCCCTCTCTTAGACCCTGCCACTCATGTAGACACACCTAGACAACTCAGACAGGCACACACAAACAGGGCTCCACCTTGTCACCCCGGAAACTGACATACCACAAACACCCACAGACACACACAGACCACAGGTTGCAGCTTCACCAGATACAATATCCAGAATGATAATCACACATAAACCTGGTCCTGTAAAGACAGCCAGGTAGCCAATATTGATTGAGTTTCTACGCTGTGCCAGGTACTGAGGATATAGTCTGACAGATGCCGTAAGTAGACTATCTCATGGATTCCTTCTCCACTGATCCATCTCCTCTGATCTTTGAGCCGCACCCACCTGCCCCCATCCTTGGCCCATCTCCTTAGGTCCATTTTTCCTCCCACCTCTACTCATCCTGCTCTCTAGCGCCCAGCCCTTCTTCCCCAAAGCCCTCTTACTCTTGAGGACAGGGCTGCTGGCCCCGGCCCCGACGGTAATGCAGATACCAAAAGGCTCCCAGACCAGCCAGGACAATCAGTAGGATGCCTGATGTCAGCCCCACAGCCAGGCCTGCTACGTCCACTCGTCCACGCCCTGTAGAGGGGAGGGGGGCGCAAATTCAGGGGCTGCCACCCATCTCAACATCCAGATACCTTCTGCCCCCCAGCCCCTGGCCACCTCCAGGGAAAAAAACTGGCTAAGAAGGAAGGCAGAGCTGGGGTTACTTTCTAGCTGTGTGACCTCAGGCAACGTACCTCACTCACTTCTATGAGCCTCCATTTCCTGTTCTGTAAAATGGGAAAAATATCCCCTTCCTGACAGGTTGCAAAAATGCAATGAATTAAATGCAGAAAGGGCCTGGGATAACATCATCTGGGACTAGAAAATATGGCAGCTGAATCACTGTGAGGACAAAGGCCCCTCCTAAGTTTGCTGTTGACACATTTAGGGTAGGGAGCTCAGGTAGCCAACTCTCCAGGCCCCCACACTGAGCACTGCTTTCCTTTTCTTTTCTTTTTTTAATGGAGGTATTGGGGATCAAACCAAGTACCTCGTGCATGCCCAGCATGCGCTTTACCAACTGAGCTATACCCCAACCCCCTTAGCATTGCTAAATTTAGCGAATAATAATGAGGATACCCTATTTAATGTGAATGTGAACTTTACATACATAATTAATAAGTTTTTAGTATGAATAATGTCCCATGGAATAGATGAAATCTACTTCTACTAAAGAATTATTCCTTTGCATTTGAAATTCAAATTTAACTGGAGGGGTAGGGGGAAGTCTTGTATTTCAACTGGCAACACTGACCCCACTGGAATGCAGTCCCTTTTACTAACCAGACCACTGAGAAGCAAGGCCTCCACTCTGAAAAAGGAGCAGAATCTAGAGGAAGGCTTGGGCATTTACCAGAAGGCTAGGAAAAAATTCACTGATCAAGGGAGGAATTTATGGATGTCCCCTCAATAACAGATTGCTGGTATCTAGAACTCATGTGGACCCTTGGCTAAGGTGCAGCACCCTTAGCAATCCAAGGCTTCATGACTGAGGAAGTTGGTGGGGGGCAGGGGTGTCCAGGGAGGACCCTGGCTTCATGAGGGCTTGCTAGGGGAAACTTCCTTTAGCACAGGGTGGGGGGGGGTGCTTTCCTCAAACAGTAAACCCCAGGCTTTTAGCCCTTTTAGCAAAAAGCTGCACTAAGAAGCCGAACCCTCCCAACCCAGACATGTTTCAGGTGGATTCAAGGAGCCACCAAGCCTTGATAGGCCTGTAGCAAAGCAGTTACCTCCCCTAGCAACCAATGTGAGGACTCCAGCCCAGACTTAGGGCCTGTTGCTAAGGTGCATCCACCCCTAGCAACCAGGCCACAAGGGGGTGGGATGTCTGGTGCCTGGAGGGGGCTCCTCCTGTGGGCAGGAGGCCTTGGGTCCTGAGCCTGGCTAGGTGTGGTTGCTAGGGAGAAGGCCTCCTTAGCAACCAGGCCAGGGCTGGAATAGGGTTGTGGGGGAGGGGAAGCCAACCAGGTAGTGAGAGCAGGCTTCGTTGGTCCAGCCTGGCCAGGCTCTGTTGCTAAGGAGCAGCCCCCCTTAGCAACAAGGCTGCCGCCAAGATGGGGCCTCAGAACTCAGAGGAGGGGTTGGGGGCGGGCTGATTGAGCAGGTGAGGAGAGACAGGCTTCCATGACTGGCCTGGCCCAGCCCTGTTGCTAGGGAGCAATCCCCCTAGCAACCAAGCTGTAGAAGGTACTGGGGCTCTGGACTCCAAAGGGCAGCTCAGGTGGGCCAGGGTCTCTCCTTCCAACTGTATTTCCCTCTTCTTGGGGACATGGGACCTCCTCCGAATAAGACGTCGTGGGTTCCTCTAGCCTCAAAGGAGGGGGCTTCTCTGACAACCACCTCCAGGAACTCAGGGAGCAAGGAATTAGAAGGGGCAAGTTTGAAGTGGAGGATAGGATGTTGGCTTAGCCTCCGCAGGAAGAAGCTGCCTTAGCTGCACAGAACAAGAGAGCTCCCCCAACTCACCTCCTTTGCCATTGTAGATGTAGTTCTCCCAAAAGCGCTCCTTGAACGGGTAGGAATAGAGAAGGCGGGAAAGGCAGCGTGTCAGCTGGGAGCTTCTACACCCCCCCCCAAACCAGCCCACCCTGATCTCCGAGGCATGAGGTCAGAGGGAGTGGTGGGACAGGAACCCCCAGTTCCTGGATAAGACAGAGGGACTCGGGGGACCCCAGACCCTCACCGTCTGAGTATTGTCCTCAAAGTACTCCCGAGCCTCTTCCCAGGAACACTTCTCCTCCTGACACTCCCTTTCCAGGTTCCCTGGAGTGAACAGCTCCAGGTCCCAGTGATTGGCTCGTGGAATCCGGCGACGGCTGCCTAGGAAGCTCTGAGCTTCTGGAGAGTCCAGGAAGACTTCTGGACCCAAAGGACATAAGGGACAGAAAAATGGAAGGTTCCTAGGACTGGGGACATGGAGGAGCCTGAATTTAAGAGAACAGAGGACTATGGGGTCCTGGGGAAGGAGGGAACTAGAATCAGGGTTTTTCCTGGGCCAGAGGAAGGTGGATGTCAGTGCCTGGACTCCAGCTGTTCCCTCAAACACTCACCTTGGTCTTGCTTCACACTGGCTGAGGTGTCCAGGCAGGTGGTCAATCCCAGGTATAGCAGCAGCACAGAGGGGTGGCCCCTCATATTCTGTACACTAGGAACCAGGTGTGGTTAGATGATCAGCGCCTCAGCTCCTGGAAAATGAGGCAAGGTCTCCCTGACCAGATTCTGTGGTCCATGAATTATCATAGCAGACACTTACAATAGCCTGTATTCTGGGCCAGACATTGTTCAAGTTCATTTATCTCTATCAACTCAGTTTTACTTTTACTAGCGGTGCTGGGTTCATCTCATTAGATAGATGAGGAAACTGAGGCACAGGGAGGTAAAAGAACTTGCCCAAGTTCGTACAGTTTGCAAGATTCAGAGGCAGGATTTCAGCAAAAGCATGGGCCTCCAGAGACCAGAGCCAGGAGCTTAGCTTTTCCCCCTGCTGTGTCTGCAGCATCTAGCACGGGTTTAGGCACATGGTAGGTGCTCATAAACGTGTCCATTGACTGGGATTCCTTCCTTCCTGGTAGTTTCCATGTATACTGGCCTCTCTCTGTGCACATTGCCACATCCACCCAGAGATCAAAGATTACAGGACAGGTAAGAGCAGAGCCCTATCTTCCTGGGTCCAGAAGGAGGAGGAGGGGACAAAGATCCTGGACTCCTGGGTTTGGGAACCCCAATTTCTGGGTCCCAGAAGAGTGGGGAGCCAGGTTGCCAGGGTCCCCAAGCCAGGCTCTGCCTCCAGGGACATTCACTTACCTGTCCAGATTTGTGAACACTGTCCCCTTCTCCTTAACCTGGGCCTCCTCTGCCAGCTGCGGCCAGCTGTGAAGAGGGGTAGGGGAGAGGGGAGGGGAGAATGAGGAGGGATGCCTTGCTCCCAGTAGTCGCCAGATCCCGGTTTCTGGCCAGAGGGGCGGGGTTTGCGATTACCTGCCCTGGGCGGGACTCAGGTAAGGGACAAAGTATTTAAAGGGACCTTATGATTAAGGGCGCAAGATCCAGAATCCCATAGGGTGGCCAGGGTCTCCGACACCGTGGGCACTTAGGGAATTTGTTATGTCCCTCCTCCCCTCCTATCCCACTGCCCCCTAGAGAGCTCGCCAGGCCGAACTAGGCAAATAAACATCTTGGTCCTCAGATATCTAGATATGTAGAAATTGGCGGGAAATTTATGCCTTGGCCCCTGGGGATAGGTGAGTTACGGCGTAGTAAATTCCTGTTTCCTGGGGTAATTTGAACGCCTTTGACTTCCGACTTCTCAACTGCTCCATTTATAAAGTGGGGACAGAGGAGTTGTCCCTTCTCTATTGTCTCTTATTTTGCAGCAGAATAGTCGAAAAACAGGCTCCCCAATCTCTGGGGGAAGTGGTTAGTTCTTAAACACGGGCTTGGAGAGACGCAAAACCCGGGTACAAGGAAGAAATCGCCCGCCCAGGAAAACGCCTAGTATATACTAAGCGCGCCCCCTAGTCACACCAGTCTCACCGACCGGAACCTTCGAATTGCCACCTACGTTTCCGGAGGGAGGAAGAGAAGAAGGGAGTACTTACCAAGCCAGAAGAGATACCTCGGCAACTAGGGGCAGACCTACTTCCGTCTAGGGGTATATATACTTCCGGTCTCTTCCACCAGGCGGAAGTGAGCGGAGCGGAGAGAGAATACAGCGCTCCTTTCCGGTGTAGGGGCACAGTGGAAGCAGCAACCGAGGAAAGAGGTGTCTTTTGTGAGGTGAGTTCCAGGCGGTGGAAGGATAGTGTTACTGCGATCCCCTTCCCTCGGGCTAGAGTCTTGGGGTCTTGAGGGATACTGGGACAAGATTTTGAATTTCCAACTTCCTGGCAGTCATTAATAGGGCACTCTAGGCTCCCCAAGTTTGAAGCTGAACTACAGGTCCCAGAAATCCCTGGAGGGAGCGAAACCTTCATCCAGCAGTTCTCGGGGGAGCTGTAGTTTCAATGCAGACAGATGGGCCGGTGGTACCAGGGGACAGAGGGAACTGGGATTCCTGGGAGTCTAAGGAGTGAGAGTTGAGGAAGGAGCACCCCTTTCCTGGCTTCAGTTTCCCACACTGTGAAGGGGAGGGCGGAGAAGGATTGTGTGGTCCCCTGCTGCCACCTCTTTGCATCTTTTTGACAGTACCTTGCCCCTCGGAGTTGCTGTAGGGTTTAACGTTTTCCTCTATAGAGCTTTGGAGTCAGGCAGTCCTGGGTTCGCATCCTGATGGTGCTGCTGTTCGGTGTGAACCTGGGTCTTCAAGTGTCCTTAAAGCAGTTTCAGTTTAATATTTTGCCATGAAAATGTTCAAATTTATATAAAAGCGAGAGAATAATGTAAGAATATCGCCCAAAGTTACCAGTTATTAATATTTTTGCCATATTTGAGTATCTTTTTTGAATTAAATATATGAAGCAAATCTTATCCATCGTGACATTTCACCCCTGCATACTTCACGATACATGTGTAAAAAGCAGGGATATTTTCTTACATGACCACAATACCATGATCACACTGTACAAAAGCAACCATAATATTAGACTGTTATTTGTTACTTGGTCAGTAATCAAATTCTGTACCTCAAAAAAAATGCCTTTTAAAAAGTTTAATTTAATTGAGTTTCATCAGATTGGGTTTCATCGGGATCCATTCAAATCATTGTTATGTCCCCTAAGTTGCTCTTTTTCTCTCTGTCTTTTTTTTTAATTTAAATAGTTGGTTTACAATGTTGTGTTAATTTCTGGAGTACAGCATAGTGATTCAGTTATACGCACATATATACCTTTTCATATTCTTTTTCATTAATAGGCTCTTACAAAGTATTGAATAGATATAGTTCCCTGTACTATTCAGTGGAACCTTGCTGTTTATCTATTTTATATATAGTAGTATCTGCAAATCCGGAACTACCAGTTTACCCTTCCACCCCCTCTTAAGTTGCTCTTAATTTAGAACAGTCTACCCTCCACCCTACCCTGGGTTTTTTGTGGGGTTTTTTTAGTGCAATTGATTTATTGAAGAAGCTAGGTCAGTTATTCTGCTATCATTCCACCATCCATCTAAATTTATCATTTCACTTTCTTGTAATCGCCTTTCACTTATTCCTCCACACCAGGGGTCAGCAGGCTAAACCCAAAGCCTGCTGGCCTCCATAAGCTTTATTGGAATATAATCCACATAACATGTAGTTCACCCATTTAAAGTGTGCAATTCAGTGGGTTTTAGTATATCCACAGAATTGTGCAGCCATCACCACTGTCAGTTTTAGAACATTTTCTTCACTCCACAAAGAAATCCAGTACCCATTAGCTATCATTCCCCAGTCTCCCTTCCCCTTCCCCCTAAACCCCGACCTCCGCCACACCCTAGGCAACCACTAATCTACTTTTTAGCTCTATGGATTAACCTAATCTGGACATTTCACATAAAAGGAATTGTTTTTCTGTCTGGTTTCACTTGGCGTAATGTTTTCAAGGTTCATCCATTTTGTAGCATGTATTAGTACTTTTTAAAATTTTTTATTGAAGCGTAGTTGATTTACAGTGTTAGTTTCAGGTGTACAGCAAAGTGATTCAGTTATACAGAAACATGCAGTTTTTTCTTTTCAGATTCTTTTCCATTATATGTTATTATAAGATTAAATGTAGTTCCTGGTGCTATATAGTAGATTCAGTACTTCTTTTTAAGGCTGAAGAGTATTCCTTTGTATGAGATATACTGTATTTTGTTTATCCATTCATCAATCAATGGACATTTGTGTTCTTTCCACTTTGGGGCTTGCTTGCACTTGTGTACAAGTTTGTGTGTGGGCATGTCTTCATTTCTTTTGGAAGTGGAATTGCTCAAATGGTAACTCTGTGTTCAACCTTTTGAGGAATTGCCAGACTTTTCCAAAGTGGGATTTTCCATTCCCGCCCTCTGTGTGAGGGTTCTAGTTTCTCCACACTTGTTATGATCTGACTTTTTTATTATAGTCCTCCAGGGGGTGTGAACTGGGATCTCACTGTGGTTTTGATTGCATTTCCCTCATGATGAATGATGTGGAAGTTTTTTTCATGGGCTTATTGGCCATTTATATATCCTCTTTGGAGAGCTGTCTATTTTAATCCTTTTTTTTTTTTTAATGGAGGCACTGGGGAACCCGGGACCTCATGCATGCTAAGCACCCGCTCTGCCACTCAGCTATACCCACCCCATCCCACCCTCTATGTCCATTTTTAAATTGGGTGTTCTTTTTATTATTGGGTTGTAGGTTTCTTGAATATTCTAGATACAATTCCTTTGTCCAATGATTTGCAGCTACCACCAGTTTTTGTGCAGCCTGCAAACTAAGAATGGTTTTAACATTCTTAAATAATAGAAAAAAATCAAAAGAAGAATAATATTTTGTGGCCTGTGACACCTATATGTGATTCAGCTATCAGTGTCCATAAATAAAGTTTTATCAGAACACAGCCACACCCATTCCTTTACATACTGTCCATGTCTGCTTGGTCATACAAGGGCAGAGTTGAGTAGTTGTAACAGGGGCCATGTGGCCCACAAAGTTGAAAATCTTTACTACCTGGCCCATTCCAGTGGATCCTTGCTCATCACCTCTGGCTTCCTAGAATCAGAAAATGAAATCTAAAGACTTGATTAAATTAAGATTCAGCCTTTTTTTTTTTTTTTTTTTTTGGCATAGCTACTTAAGAGCTGCTAGCTTCACGTTGCCTTGTGCCTGGCTGTCCCACTTTTAGGGATGGTGAGATTGATCAGGGGCTTCAGGTGGCGTTTTATTTTTTCCCTTCCAGTTTTATTGAGATATAATTGACAGACAGCACTGTATACAGTTTTTTGGCGGGGGTAGGTTTTGTTTGTTTGTTTGTTAGTTTTAATGGAGGTACTGGGGATTGAACCCAGGACTTCCGTGCATGCTAAGCACGCATTCTACCACTGAACTATACCCTCCCCCTCAGCCATTACTAATAGAACATCTCAGACACTCGCTTTTGCTCCTAGGGAGCTCCCTCTTCCCCGATTTCAATGCGTCCTATTTCTGTCTGTGATTTCCTTGAGTGTAATTGGCCCTTTGGGTTTCTTTAACACAGAGGCCTCTGCTCCCCTGAGAGGGCCTTGTGATACACACACCCTTCTATGGAGGGGGCTGGTAGCATCCTTTAGTTCTCAGAGGGCTCTCTGACCCCGCCAGGAGGTTCAGGATTCAAACAAACCAACTGTAGAAAAAGGCAGGAGATAATCAGCTGACCACCAGCTGGATAGTAGAGGATGTTGAGGAACTATTAACATGTTAATGGTATTGTGGGCAGGTGTTTTTAAATGAAGCAGCCACTAGTCCCCAGAGGCTGGGGAGCACTTTGATATGTGGCTAGTGCCACCAAGGGGCTGTCTTTTTTAATGATTTTATTTTAATTAATTTAAATTCAAGCACCAATACTTGCTTTGGTTACTGGAAAACCTTTAAGTGTGTTTAGAAGACGTGGGGTACAGCTCAGTGGTAGAGCGTGTGCTTAGCATGCACAAGATGCTGGGTCGAATTCCCAGTACCTCCATTAAATAAATAAACAAATAAATAAACAAACCTAATTACCTTCCCCCCCAAAAAAACAAACTACTTTCTAAAAACAATACCAATATTACCCCTGGAAAAAGATAAACTTAAAAAAAAGTACACTTGGAACAAGCAGGGCATGTGAACATACCATTGCACTTGTAAATGTCATGAAACCTAAATACAGGACAAGTTTCTCCAGTGAAAATTTCGTGTCCGAATTGAGATGTGTTGAAAGAGGCGCTGGATTTTGAAAGCTCCGTAGGGGAACAGTCCTGGGTTAGCCTGCCTTCTCGAATGGTGACCTTCCCAGAAGGAGATAGCTGTCACGTGGTTATGCGGGCAGCTCCAGAGCCTGGCTGCTGGGGTTCAGATCCAGCTCTGCCATTTCCCCCAGCTGGGGGATTCCATGGGCCTGTTTTGTCCTCTCTGAAATAGGATGATGACAAATAGTAGCTGATGTGACTTTGGATGGGTCCTCTCTGAAATATGAGTGATGGCAGAGCATAGTAGTTGGGTCTTCTGTTTAGGAATCAGCCTTACCAAGGAGGCTATAGTGCTGTAGTGTGAAAACAGCTTTCTGAGAAAACCTGCCAACCCCTGCCCTCCCGACAACCGTGGCCAGCGGTTCTCCAACTTTTTGCTCTCAGGATCTTAAAAATCTTTGAGGACTCCAAAAGAGTTTGTGGAGAGTTTTCTTTGTCAAGATTTACCTTGTCAGAAAAGTGAAATGAAGTGAAATTGAATAGAATGGAATGAAAATGAAATAAAATAAAATAAAGTAAATAAAATAAAAAAGATTTGCCATGTCAGAAATGACAACCAAAAAGAAAAAAAGAAATGAAAACTGACAATAAAATGTTTTTATTGAGATAGAATTCACAAACCACAAAACTCACCCACTTAAAGCCAACAATTCAGCGGGTTCTCATATAATACGATCTCATATAATTTTGCATCCATCACCACTTTCTGACTTAAGGACATTTTCATCACTGTGGAAGGAAACCCGAGACCCCTTAGCAATCACTCCCCATCTCCCCTTCTCCCAGCCCATGGCAGCCACCAATCTGCTTTCTGTCCTTATGGATCTGCCTGTTCTGGACCTTTTATATAAATGGAATCAACAAGATTCCTTTCATTCCTGGCTTCTTTCACTGTGTAATAGAACAGCCATTTTTAAACCCCAAGGATGCACAAGCACAAGTCACACAGCCTCTGGAAAACTCCGCTGTCCGCTTGTGAGAGACTAACAGGAACAAAGGCAAATGCGTTTTAATGTTATGGCAATAGTTTTGTGGGCTCCCTGAAAATATCTTAGGGGCCCCCCTGGGTCCCTGGTCCTTCCTTTGAGAACCACTGTCTTTAGCAAACGACTTCACCTCCATGACTCAGTTTGCTCCTCTGTGAAGTGGAGATGGTGAGGGGGCAGACTTCAGAGGGAGGCTGAGGTCCACAGTTGATGAGATGGGAGCTCAGAGAGTTGGCATGGGGTCAGGGCTCAAGCAGCGTCCTTTGGGATCATTCCCACACCCGCCCGGAGAAGTAAAGAAATGCCCCCCCTAGAGCGGCTCCCCTCCCTCTCAGAGGGAAGATGTCCCGGTCCACGAAGCCAAACAGCTTGGCCACAGGACAAGCAGCCCAGTGCCAAATACCAGCGCAGAGGGTCAAGGCAGTTGACAACTAAGAATAGAGTGGGGAATTTGTCCCTTAGGAGGTGAACCCGACCTTCATGAGCGGCAGTTGGGGGGGGCTGGGGCGGAAGCCAGGGGGCCGAGGCGGAGGAGCTGGTAGCAGGTGAGTGAGGGAGGGGCAGCAGGTGCTGGACACTTGCTCCAAAGCTTGGGGGTGAGGGGAAGTCAGAGGAGGGGCCGTGGGCGGAACTGGGGTGTTTCACCAAGGTTAGCTTCTGCCAGCAGCACAGTGGCCGCTGCTGGGGTGATGGAAACGTTCCAGAACTCGTTGGGGATGGTAGTTACGAGGGTGTATACGTTTGTCAGAAACACGGTCAAACTGCATCCTTAAGGTCTGTGCATCTGTTCTATGTAAATAAAACTGCAAAACAAAAATTGGCTTCTGGGAGGAAGACACCAGTAGAGGCAGAGCAAGGTCCGTAGCCGTTGCATGTGAAAGGCAAGTTTCTGAAAGCATCGAGAAGGGGGAAATAAAGATGAAGTTGCTTTTTACTTTTGGGGAGCTCTTGGTTGTGTCCCCCTCCCCTGCCTTCTGCATCCTCCTTGCATCCAGAGAGCTGGAGAGAGTATTTCCTGAAGGTTCCACATGCCAGGCTGTGAGCATGACCTCATTTAGTCCACACAGCAATCCGATCACGCCAGCTAGACCCCATGGTTTTCCCCACTTCTTATCAAAAGGCTCAGAGAGGAAATCACCAGTCCAGAGTCACAGCGAGTAGGGGGCCAGCCCTGGACTCCAGCCCAGGCAGCAGGTTTTACTGTTTAATTCTGCCCATGCTGATCCAGACACCCCACTCCTTGTTTCATTGATTTATTCTTTTTTATTCCCTCATCAGTCCCCTCCCCTCCGTGGGCACCCATTCTTAGATGCATCGTATTGTGTATGTATAGATTGTTTTATTTGTTACTTTTTCTGCCTAGCATTGTGTTTTTAAGACTCACCCCCGATGCTTTGGACACACCTAGTCAGTTGCATCTCACCTCTGGGTAGTTAGTCTCTATGGTGGGCAGTCACTAATCATTTTGCCTGAGCAGGATATTCAGTTGCCTTGGACTCCTCTCCGGTGTAAATAACATGACTGTGAAACATCCTTATACAGGCTCCCTAATGGGTGTCTGTGAGAATGTCTTCAGGACATTCAGAAGCGCCTGCACTTACTTGGCTGAAGTGCCACCAGCCGATGTTCCCCAAGCATCACCCGAGGGTTCCTCTGACCAACCCCCACTGTGGTCTTATCCTGATTTCCAGGTTTCGTCCTCCAGCCTGATGACAGATGTAAATGATATCTCACTGTAGTTTTCCCAGGAGGAGAGTTTGAGGCATCTCTCCATCCACTTGGTAGTCTGAGCTGCTTCTGTAAATCATCTCTTCCTGTCCTCTGCTTTTTCTTTTGGGTTAGCTGGGTTTTTCTTGCTGATTTGCCAAGGTCCTAAATACAGTCACTTCTGCTATAACACTTGTTTTGAAAACTGGGAATTAATTCCAGTCCAATTGATTATCAGTTATGGAGCATTTAAGCATAACGGAAATTGGCACCTAAGTGAACCCAGATGCACTCAGTTGAAATGAACGTCCAGGCACACGGAGCGCACTCACACCAGCCAAACCTCTGCTGGGCGTTCCAGTTCCCCACGTGTGTTACCAGCCCCACCCATTCCAATCTGGTGCTAGAACTTCCCATCAGATTCCAATTAACTCTCCTTCCACCACCTCACAGTAACTCACAACAAGCAAACTTCAGGTCTTCTTCCGGGTCAAGTGCTTTTTTTTTTTTTTTTTTTTTTGGACAACGTAGGCACTTCTTAACCACTTAACATGTGTAAAACTGTCTTCCCCTGCCCCACACCCAGCTTTCCCGTCAGATCAGATCTGGGGGCCGTAAAAGTCCAGTCCTCCCTGCATGGCCACCACAGCCCTGCCACTGTCCCTTCCTTCCCCCAGGATGACGCGACATGGCAAGAACTGCACGGCAGGGGCCGTCTACACCTACCACGAGAAAAAGAAGGACACAGGTACTGGGTTTGAGACAGGATGAGGCAAATGGATCTCAAAGTCATCGTGTCACTTGCACCTGTTTGTACTTTCTGTGTGTATCTTTCCCCCGACTAATGGTCCTGACCGTGTAATTAACAGTTCACGTGACTGATGGTCATGACCGTGTAAGTAACAGCCACATGAGCCAGCAGCCCTCAGCCTGCCCTGTGGTGGGTGTTCAGTGCCTTCATGTTTGAACTCATCTAAGCCTCCTCATACCCACCGAGGAAGGAATAACTATCCTTGGGGCCCTATTCCAGAGGGAGAAACCTAGGCCCGGAGAGGTGCAGGCACTTGAGTTTGGTTACAGAGCCAGAAGATCCAAGGGGAGTCAGCCACGCACCTCTCCCCCAAGCTGCCTCGGTGATAGGGCCTGTCTGTCCCTTACCTTCTGGGGATGAACACCTTCATGTAGCTTGTGCAGCCACCACCCGCAAAACAGAAACACAGCCCAATCTCTCGACCGCCTGTTCTCTCGAATTCCTGCACCTCTGAGTCCTCTCTGTGCGTCGCTCCCCGGGTTTGGAGTGGGGTACGTCTCCCATCTCTCCATCCCTCTGCCTGTCTCTGTCCCCAGCGGCCTCAGGCTATGGGACCCAGAACATTCGACTGAGCCGGGATGCTGTCAAGGACTTTGACTGCTGCTGCCTGTCTCTGCAGCCCTGCCATGACCCTGTTGTCACGTGAGCTGGGAACATGGGAGGGTGGGTCAGGGTGGCGAGGACAGTGGAACTGTGTGGAGAGGGCTGTATGCGTGGGTCTGCACAGCCGGGGCACCCCGGGCAAGCCACCTACCCTCACGGAGCCTCAGTGTTCTCTGAGACAGGGTCATCATCCTAGTTTGCTTAAGGGTGTGGGAAAGAATACATTCACAATAGAGGGTAGGGCTCACATGTGGAGTGCTCTCCATTACCTGCCTCTTCTGGTCCCATAAAGGCTTCAGAGAGATGATGGGTAGAAGGTACTTAGTCCATTGACCAAACATGTGCTTGATAACTGGTCCGTTTCATAGAGATGGTGGTGCGAGTGGAATGTGGTTCCTGGTTTCTCATCCCCTCCTCTCTCTCTCTGCAGCCCAGATGGCTACCTGTACGAGCGTGAGGCGATCCTGGAGTACATCTTGCACCAGAAGAAGGAGATCGCTCGGCAGATGAAGGTGGTGGAGATGGAGATGGAGAAGGGGGTGTGGGCACGAGCAGGCAGTCTTGACTCTGGGCCTCTCCTCTGTCTGAGTCCCTTCCCCCCAGGCCTTTCCCTGCACTGTTCTCTCTGCCCACTGCACCATCCCCACCCATGCCTCCTGATTCAGTCCCTCTTATGCTCCAGATTTCAGCGCAGGTCTTGCCTCCTCTGACCTCTCGCTAGTCCAGGGCCCCGAGGGCCTGCCTCTGTCACCTCTTCTTTGGCACTTATCACATGTGACTCCATGTGGTTGTCTGCACACGCCCACTTCCCCACTAGACAGCAGGCCCCTGGGGCAGGAAGTGGGGCGCTCACCCTCCCATGTTCCCAGCTCACATGACAACAGGGTCATGGCAGTGCATACATCATACAATAAATAAATTATAGATATACTGTATAAGTAATGTAATATGGCCCACAGGTAACATTTCTTGAGCACTTACTATGTGCCTGGCCAGGTGCTAAGTGTTTTAAAAAGTCATCCTATGTGATCCAGGGAGCCTCCAGCATAGGTCGCCATTATTAGTCCGTTTTACAGATGAAGAAACGGAGGCGAGGAGCAGTCACAGTGCTTATGGAGGATACGGAGCTAATCAGGGACAAAGGGCAGGGAATGAGCCCTGGTGGTCTGTCTCCAGCCATGTAGTTGAGCAGTGTGCCACCAAGGAACAAAGAAGCCATCGAGTCCTGAACTCCCAAAGGGGAAATGGCCTAAGTGTCTTACAGTTGGTATAAGGCAACAGGGGCCCAGCATGGATCATGATTAAAGATTATCACCCAGGTAGTCACCAGCCTCCACCAAACAGAGCCTCTGCTGGGAGCGTCCCCCTGGGTAGGCCCGATTTACTGGCCTTTAAAATTAAAGAACCACCCCAGCCCCTACCTAGGGTGCCTCAAACTCACGACCCATGGGAAGATTCGTTGCTCACTTCTCCCTGGCTGCCTGCAGGCTTACGAGAAGCAGCGGGGCGCCCGGCGTGAGGAGCAGAAGGAGCTGCAGCGGGCCGCAGCGCAGGACCAGGTGAGGGGCTTCCTGGAGAAGGAAGCAGCCATCGTGAGCCGGCCCCTCAACCCCTTCACGCCCAAGGCCGCCTCGGGGAACGACTCAGGTAAGGGGGAAGCAGGCAGACTTGAGGGGGGCTGCCTCCGCGGTGTGCTTCCCTGGGTGCTGTGTCCGAACGCCTCTTCCCCCAGCAGATGATGGCCAACCTGGGCCCAGCGCAGGCCCCGCAGGCAAGGACAAGGACAAAGCGCTGCCCAGCTTCTGGATCCCGTCGCTGACCCCTGAGGCCAAGGCCACGAAGCTGGAGAAGCCGGTGAGCCCCCCACCCCAGGGAGCGCCCGTGAGCCCACTTTGCCAGAAAGGGTCAGGTTCCCAAGGGCCCCCCTCTCCTCCCTCACAGGGACCCCGTCCTCCCTCCACCTGGCTCTAGCCCTGCTTGCTGATCCCGCCCCCTCTCGCTTCCCAGTCCCGCATCGTGACCTGCCCCATGTCCGGGAAGCCACTGCGCATGTCGGACCTGACGCCTGTGCGCTTCACGCCGCTGGACAGCTCGGTGGACCGCGTGGGGCTCATCACGCGCAGCGAGCGCTATGTCTGCGCCGTGACCCGCGACAGCCTGAGCAACGCCACTCCTTGCGCCGTGCTGCGGCCCTCGTGAGTCACCTAGGGGGGTCGGCTTGGGGACCTGTGGGACAGGGCAGGACCTGAGGTATGGCTCTTCCTCTCCGGGCCGTGGCCTCTGATCCCTGTGCCCTCTGTTCCCTGTGCCCTCGTCTTCACCTCAGTGGGGCCGTGGTCACCCTCGAGTGCGTGGAGAAGCTGATTCGCAAGGACATGGTGGACCCTGTGAATGGGGAGAAGCTCACAGACCGCGACATCATCGTACTGCAGAGGGTGAGCGACGCCCCTCCTCCTGGTTCCCTTACCTTCGGTACCCGCCCTCCCTACCCTGGACCCCGCCCTCCTCTCAGAAGACCCAGGCCCCGCCCCTTCACCACAAACCCCGCCCCTCCAAGCTAGGGTGTCCTGCAGCCGTGCACCGCCTCCACCTCCGCCTCTTCTCCCTGTCTAGGGCGGGACGGGCTTCGCAGGCTCCGGAGTGAAGCTGCAGGCCGAGAAGTCCAGGCCGGTGATGCAGGCCTGAGTGCGCCCGAAACCAAATAAACGGGCTTGGATGCAACCGGCTATGTGGCACCTTCATTTATCGCCCCGGAGCCCAGGGACAGCGGGCGAGGAGGCCGGGCCACGCGGGCAGCACCCCAGCGTGACTGCAGTTTGAAAGCGTGGGCTAAGAGTATTTGATGTGGTCTCACGTTAAGAGTCAAATCTGAATCGAATGCAAATGCACAGCCTTAAATGGGCTGAGTGGCCAGAAGTCGGAGTCTGCCCCGCGACCTCTTGAGGGCGCCACCTGAACAGGCTAAGTACAAATCCGCTCACATCCATTTGAAGCCCGTGAGAGGTCCGGGAATGAGTCTCCCAGAGCAAAGTGTGATAAGACACCCAAAGGAAATGAAGTGCAGTGAGCAAGAGGGAGCAGCGGCATTTAGTCTAGAGAAGTGGATCGAGAACACCCCTTCTCCTAACACCTGACTGCTGAGGGGTGAAAAGGAAGAGGAAACCTCAAGTGCAAAGGCCCGGAGGCCGCAGAGTACTTGGTGGGGCGGGGGGGGGGGGTTGAAGAGTAGGAGGAGGTCAGAGTCCCTGGGCCTGGTGGACCTGCCTGGAGCTCAGATTTGACTCGGAAGCAGGGGCAGCCCTTAAAGCTTTGTTTTTAGCAACCACTGAATCACAAAAGCAGACCCTGTACAGTGTGGAAAATTAGAGTGTACAGTCAAACAAAGATTAAAAAAATAAAGACTTAAAGTCCTGCCTCCCTAAGCAGGTCCTGTCCTTCCTGGTCTCTCTCTGCAGGTACACATGTGAATGTTTTCAACCAAAGTGAGATTTCCATGCACATACTGCACTGTTCAGTGAACAGTCTCTATTTTTTCATTTTGGTAAAACGTCATCTGATCTTATGCCCAGGTGAGAGTCACAGGGCCAGGACATGTCCTTGACTGCAGGGCAAACCCCTGTCTGGTGCAGGACCGGGTGGTGCATTGGCTGCAGGGAAAGGTTTTAGAAGGAGCATGGGTGGCATTATCCTTACACCCCAGAGAGCCCCCCCCAAACCCAGCATTTGCTCTCTCAGACACTTCTAGAACCTTCCCTTGGTCCCTAAGAGCCTTCACACTCCACTCTTGGGCTCCCAGTCCCAGGAAACTGACTCAGGTGCTGCTGATATTAAAGGAACCCTTGCCATCTGGGCCTCTCAATGTACACTCTTCTTGAGTCCCGGTGAGAATCTTGAGAGAAGGATGCTGATACCCATTTCACAGAACAGCTCACTGAGGCTGTGAAGACAGCTTGCCCAAAGTCACTGCTCAAGGCCATAGCTGTATCTGGGTTCATCCAGGTATCCCCCTCCCAGATTCAGTCCTGCCCTTCCCCACATCCTTTGTATCCTTCCTCCCCTAGGTTTGCCACACTGCCCACCTCCACACCAACCTTAGCAAGCTCCCACCCCATCCCTTTATACCCAGAACGATTCAGATCACTCCTCCTTCCCTAGAGACCCTTAATCTTGATCCTCTTCTCCCAAGATTCCTCAACCACCCCAAGTCCTTCCACCCCCTCCACACAAGGACTCCGATCCTGTTCATGTGTGATAGAGACCACCCCCGACCCCAGATAAAGACTTCGAGGATTTCTAGTCTTGCACCTGTATTTCCACAAGGAGCCAAAAGCCCACTCTTAAATTCACAGGCCCCCTGAGACACTCTTTACAGGGAGGGGTGGGGTGTAGGTCGGTCCTTGTGCTAAGAGAGAAGTTTCCTTTAAGATTTCAAAGGTAATGAGAGGAAGCAAAAGTCATACCACAGCTGAAGCTGCACCAGAAGGGAGGGACCGGAAGTGGAAACATGTCTTTTCTCCACAGAGGTTCCCTAGATACTGGCCTAAAGTTTAAAGCAAAAAATGGACGTGGTGGAGTTTGTCCTGGGTGGGGTGTGCCCACTGGTGGCTTCAGCCTCAATGGACCCACAATGCAAATTAAGGCAGTTGAAATTGTTGAAATTTTTAAGTGAGGAGACCTATTCTGGAAAGGGGAAACTACACACAGGGAGCAAATCCTTGGTTGCCAGGGAAGGGGGAGGAATTGACTACGAGGGGTGTAACGAGAATTTGGGGAGGGGCAATGGATTGATTCTGTACCTTGACTGTGGTGGGGCTGGGAAGAGGGAATTGGGGAGTGACTAAAGTACTGATTTGCTGTTGGGGTGACGAAAATGTACTGGAATTAGTGGTGATGGATGTACAACCTTGTACATTTAAAAATCACTGGATTATACACTTTAAAGAGCTAACTTTTTAGTAGGTAATTTATAACTCAATTTTTTAAAAATCAAAGATTTGACATTAGAGACCCCCCTCTTGGAAGCCTTGAAGATTTCGTCTGCTGATCTGGAGGAGGGGGGGTCACCAGTAGAAGAACTAAAAGCAGAAACAGTTCAGAAGTTCTTCATGATAAGTGTTGGCGAGGATGTGGAGACACTGGAACTTTTTTACTACACTGGGAAACATGGAAACCGGGGAAGCAATTTGGTTATATCTAGTAATACTAAAGCTATGCCGGCCCCATGTCCGAGCAATCTCACTTCAACATCCACAACCAACAGACAAGCAAACAGGCTCAACCAACAACAACAACAACAACAACAACAACGAACTGGAATGTTCACAGCAGCTCTGTTTGTAATGGCTCCTCACTGGGAAATGACCCAAAGGTTTATTAACAGCAAGATGGATGACCTGTGGACGATTCCCAGTAGAATACTATACAGCAGTGAAGAGGAAGGACTGCTCTGCCCATCATGTCCGAATGCACACAGTGTGTTTCTACTTCTCTAAATAAATAGGCAAACTATGCTCTTCAAAATCAGGATAGTGGTTACCCTTGTGGAGGTGATGTCTGGGTCCTCTTAGGGACTGATACTGTTCTCTTTCTTGATCTGAGTGCTAGTTACAGATGCATGCGTGCTGTCTGAAAATTCATTTCGCTGAACACTTTAGTTGTACACTTGTCTACACCTCTGTTATATTCCCATTAAAATGACCTTAAACTCACAACCATAACAAAGAGATGTCCTTGGCAATTTTGCAATGTCTACCAAATTCATAAATTCCACTTCTAGGAATTTATCTGTAGTTAAACTCATGGAAAACTACATAAATTACAGATATGCTGGCGCCTTCTGTGCAACACCGATTGTAAAAGAAAAGACCAGAAATAACCTAAATGTCGATCAGTAGAGAATTGGTTAAATCATCTATTCAGGAGCATATTACTCAGCTATAAGGAAAAAAAGAGAGAGGGAGGGAAGGGAAAAAAAAGGAAATGAAGATATTCCTTATGGACTAAAAATCGTTTTCAAAATGTATTATTACCATAATAAAAATATTAATAATTAAAAAAATTAAAATTGGAGAATTCTGACTCAAATGTATTATGAGAAACAAAACATATAACAGAAGAATCTGAAAAAAAGTATGTACATGTGTAATTGAATCGCTTTGCTTACACCTGAAACTAACATTGTAAATCAACTACATGTCAATAAAAAGTAAAATAAAAAAAGAGAAACAAAGGTAAAAATATCATCTGCTATCATGTCCATTAAAAAGAAAAATAAGTTGTACATATTTGGTTAAATCTGTGTGAATTCTCCCTGATAAAAATCCTGGATGCCTGTGAAGAGCCGACCTTGGTGGAAGGAAGACTTTGTTCTTTAGTATATAACATCATACATATTTAGAATTTTGTATCCTAGGAGTATATTGCCATAAATTTAAAATAAAATGAGCAAAATATTTTTTAAAAAGTCTGGGGAGAGACACTAAGAGTGACCAACGGCTAGGCAAATTTTTATTATAAGTTTTTCTGTACAAATAATTTGTTGCTGTGTGTATTATTTTGATTAAAAGATTTTCAAACACGGCGGCTCTCCAAGTGAGCTACAAACGTGTCCTACTCCTTCCTAAACCAGTTCTCTCCCTCAGCCACTAGGGGGCAGTATGTTATAATGAAAACTTCGCGTCCCACGTGGATTAAAATGCCAACCCTCCCACAGATTACAACTATGAACTCTGAATAAAACAGATAACCATTACCTAAAGGCACTGGAAAGTGAACAAAAGCAGGCAGAACCTGCAGGGGAATCGACACTCAGAAAAAAAGGAAAGCAGTGGTGAATTTCTCCTTTGGACCACTTTCAGCCTAGGAGTGGATTCTAGTTCATGACCCAAGGGGCAGCTAAAACACCAGGGGAAAAACCACTGTCTTCCTAGCTTAAAGCACCACAGCAACAGGAAAGGGAAACATAAATTCTGGAAAAGAGATCCGGCGGGGGAGGGGGTGTCTCCAAATATTTTATATAAACTCTGCTCAGATACCCAGCTGACCCTGTATCACATCTGCATGAGATACACTCCAGGAAGCCCAGCTAAACCTAAAAAAAGTGAACTAAAAGTTTGAGCTACAAGTTTCACAAGAGAGACAAAATTTGCAGAGATTACAGTTTGAGTTCAACCATGGTAATAAGTTACTTAGGAAAAAATAATACACTTCAGAGAAACATAAGACTCCAGATTTTCTGCAGTGTGTCCAGGATACCACCTGAAATTACTCAAAATACAAACAAATAGGAAAGTGTGACCCATTCTCAAGAGAAAAGGCAGTAAGTTAACTGAAACCAACCCTGAAGTGACCCATATGTTAGAAATAAGAAGTTTTAAAAATAGCTATTGTAACCACACTCAAGAGCCTAAGAGTATGCTTATAACAAATAAAAAGACAAAAACTTTAGTGGAGAAACAAAACAATAATAAAGAATAGAATAGAAATTATAGTACTAATACATAAATTTAGCAAGTTCACAGGATACAAGGTTGATATAGAAAAATAATTGTATTTTATATTCTAGAAGCAAGAAGTTGAAACAGAAAAAATTTTTAAAGTAGTTATAATTTTCCCCCTCTACTTATTATTTTTAAGAGCAATCTTGTGTCTTCTAAGGGTTCACAAACCCATTGTTCCCCAGGCCTTTCAGGAGTTGGGTCATTTTCTGATGATGGTGGTGCTGCTTTAATCCAACTGTGATGAATCCATGGCTTCACCCCAGCTGGCTTGACAAGATGAGTGCATGGTCCTGTCCACATTGCAATCAGCTGATGTTCAGTTCCTTGTTCTCTCCAAGTTTTTAAGGAGGACTTGGTCTCCAGGTCAGAAAGGATATAAGGCTACTTCAGTTGAATAGGCAGACCTGTTGGAGGCAAACTCAAAACAGAAATTACTGTGGTGTGCAAATTTTTAACATCATTGGCAACTGCCATTTAATTTAAGCCTGCTTCTGGGGAACCACTCTAATCTGTAGCAGGGCAACTTGCAATTTAACCCAAGTTAGTCTCTTGACATATTTTAGCAATACTCCTTTTTTCTTTTCTTTTTGAGGGGAGAGGGAGTTAATTAGGTTTCATTTTTTTTTGGAGGAGGTACTGGGGATTGAACCCAGGACCTCACGCATTCTAAACCCCCTCCTCCTTTTTTTTTTGTAATGCAATGCTTCCCAAATTTGCGTGCCATCCTTGCACAGAGGCCATGCTCATCTTCTCTGTATCATTCCAATTTTACCATATGTGCTGCTGACACGAACACAGCAATTCTTCTTTTTAACATATGATTTATTTTCTTGTTTTTTCCTGTTGACCGTGATTGATTGTGGTCTCCAGGTTGAGGATCATTTTCAATTAACTTGCAGTGCTTTAGATCTCTGGTTTTACTGGAGACAAAAACAGACCCACTGTCACTTTGAAGAGCGTTAGGCAGTCTAAATTGGGGAATAATTTCCTGAAGGAGTGCTTTCACCACTTCGGAGACCTTTTTCTTTCGGGGTGGGATATGCCTCCACCCATCCTGAGAAAGTGTCCAGGAATGCTAGCAGGTATCTGAAATTTCCTGCACCTTGAGGCATTTGAGTAAAGTTTATTTGTCATTGTCAATTTTCCCCCAGGGCTCCTGTGGGGAAATTTGAATTGGGCACCAGGATGTTCCTCTCTTTCTACCACAGGCGAGGCTCTCATTGTTTTGTCTCTTATTTATATATTTTTAAATTTATTTATTGTCTCATTGCTTTGTCTTTTATTGTTTTCCTTACGTTTTAACCTGGGGCAATCTTTTTCTCTTCCTCCACACCAGATGCCAGAAAAGTGTCGTTTCATTTTCATCTTCTTTTTTTAATACCATTTTTAAATGTATGTATTTATTTTACAATATCATATTTTTAAATTGAAGTATAGTTGATGTACAATACTGTATGTTACAGGTATACAATATAGTGATTCACAAAATTTTTAAAGATTATATTCCATTTGTATTTATTATAAAATATTAGCTATATTCCCCATGTAGTACAATACATCCTTGTAGCTTATTTTATGCCTGACTGTTTGAACCTCTTAATCCTCCACCTCCATCTTGCCCCTCCCTCTTCCCCAATGGTAACCACCAGTTCCTTCTCTACTTCTGTGAGTCTGTTTCTTTTCTGTTATATTCACTAGTTTGTTGTGTATGTTTTAGATTCCACATGTAAGTGATATCTTACAGTATTTGTCTTTCTCTGACTTATTTCACTTAGCATAATGCCCTCCAAGTCCATCCAAGTTGTACACCAGAAACTAATACAACATTTTAAATCAACTGTACTTCAATAAAAAGCAAGCAACCAACCAACCCATTTAAAATATGGGCAGAAGAACCGCACAGACATTTTTCCAAAAGAGGAAATGTAGACGGCCAACAGGAACATGAAAAGTTGCTCAACATCACTAATATCAGGGAAATGCAAATCAGAATCACAAGGAGACACCATCTCACACCTGTCAGAATGGCCACCATCAAAAAGAACACAAATAACAAATGTTGGAAAGGATGTGAAGGAAACCCTTGTACACTGTTGGTGGGGATGTAAATTGGTGCAGCCACCATGGAAAACAGTATGGAGGTTTCTCAAAAACCTAAAAATAGAACCACCATATGGCCCAGCAGTTCCACTCCTAGGCGTATATCTGAAAAAAACAGAAACATTAATTCAAAAAGATACATACATCCCACTATTAAAAGCAACATTATGTATAATCACCAAATATGGGAGCATCCTAAGTGCACATCAATAGATGAATGGATAAAGATGCATCTTCTTTCTTTTCTTGATAAATTTTTAAAAATAGAGGTACTAGGGATTGAATCCTGGACCTCGTGGGTGATAAGCGTGGGCTCTACCACTTGAGCTATATCCTCACCCAGCGTGTCTTTTTTCTTCTGTGATTATTCCCTGCTGTTGAACACTTTAAAAGCAACATCTACCAGTGGAGAAGGGTTTATTCCAAATGCGCCATCTATTTTGCAACTGTTTCCTGATATCTGAGTCGCTTTGCCCACCCAAAAGGTCAAATTTACCATACTAGTGTTTTCAGGGGCCTCGGGATCTGCATCAGTATAATGTCTGTAGGCCTGATCAATGCTTTCCAAAAATTCAAAAGTGCTTTTCAAATTTCTTCATGTTTTTGCTGAACTTCTTGGATTTTGCTCAAATGCTTTTGCTCTGGGTCCCCTTTCCAAAGCCCTGCCCGGACGCACTTCCGGTAGTGCTCTCAGAAGGGCATTCCTCCCTCACTGGGGTCCCAGTTTGGTTCAACTGTGGGTACAGCCCTAGCGGGCTTCAGGCGTCCCACTTTGGTCCGTGAGATGGAGCTGGTACGCATCTTCCCTGGCCTTCTCAGGGATCATGTGCCGTGTATCTAGACGATCGTCCTGGTAATGAGGGTTGCCAATTAAACAAGCCTGAGGCGGAGGAAAGGACTATGCAGCCATACAAAGCCAGCGGGCTGCCGTGTGCACTTAGGCCCCCTACAGGATAACCAGATAAGAACAGAAAGGAAATTGTCCTGCCCGAGGACTGGGTCTTGGATGGTGGTACTTGACCAGGTCCCTGTGCCCTGGGAAGTAACACAGGATTTTCTCATTGATCCCTATAAGGAGGCGGAGCCAGTCCGACCACAGTGTCAGGAGTCCCAGTATCTGGAACCAGAAAGAGAGGCGATGGACAGGGTGTAGATACGAGCATAACGCCTGCAGCAGCTGGGACGGCCAGCTTGATCTAAAGTCGGAGCAACCTATCCTCACCCTCGTTCCCCTTCTTTTCTTCCTGTATGACAGATTTTACCTGGGTTTCTAGTACCGTAAGGTGACGACTCCCTGACTTTCTCCCACCTGATGTAATCGTACAAATGCCTTTCTGTCTTGGCATCAACCAACCGGGCTGAACTCTGGGGTGGAGCTTTTGGTTATTTTTAGTGAAATCTTTCTTTCTCCCCTGGGACTATCCCTTCCTCCCTTTGACCTCAGTTTATAAATGGAGAAATTGTACCAAAACAAAATGAAATGAAAATCCCAAAGAACACACAGAAACCCCTAAAGAAACCCTCATGTTTGGTCTCTGGATTTTACATGTCATAAGAACCATCAACTCAACCCTCATGCAATGTGAATCCTTGGAGCACTGTTGGATCCAAACCAGCAATCCAGGAGACCAAAAACGACATAATTAATACAGCAAGAGTGACAGTACGTGCTGCACAGGGTCCCAAGATTACCCTGCCTAAACCCCTTGTGGTGATCCCAGCAGGTACTTAGGCCACACATTGTTACAATAAAGTATCTTCCTTTCAGTCATGGGTTCAGAGCTATAATTAGATCGCTTATCCAAAATGCGCCTCAGAGGACTTTCTTTTAAGAATAGTCGAAACATTCTCCAATCTTTAAAGACAGAAATACAAGACAAAACACAAAGGCCGCACAAAGACGCCAGCATCCAAAGAAATAAATGAACCGGTTCACAAATCAGGTCCAGCAATCATTTCCTCTCTCCAACAGGATACCCCACTCAAATACAAAACAAATTGGCTTATTTTGGAGGGAAAAAAAAGCCCCAAATGGAGGAAAAAAGAGTTTCCGGCTGTACACACCGGAGCAACTTACCCTACTATAGGGAGCTGCTTAACTCCCAGATGTCAGTTTCTTGCTTCGACTGCCAAGCGCTGGGGCACCCAGTGCTGCTTTGGGGAAATCTGAAGGGAAGATCCTCAGAACAAGTGGTCCTGGCAGCTGCTAGGGCCTTACCCAAAAATTCCCCAACAGGGGCCAGCTGGCCGTGAGCCCCAAGCCTCTGGGCTGGCTTTGCAAAATTCGTTACCAAGTCCAAGTTCGTACTGCACGTAGCCCGACAGGCCAATAAATCGAGAGATGAGGTGTTGGGGCAAGGCACAGCAACTTTATTCAGAAAGCCAGCAGACCAAGAAGACGGTGGGCTAGTGCCCTCAAGTAACCACCTTCCCCAAGTTAAAGTCGAAGCTTCTTTTATACTAAAAAGGGAGATGGGGAAAGTCCTGGTTCCGGCCAGAGTCCAGAGGGGATGTGTTAATTTTGTCCTTCCTGCAGCCATTCACAGGTGAGACTGGTCAGGATGATTCCTGTGAGCTAAACAAAGGTGTTTTAGCTTAACACTCACTACCTGGGAGGCAGGGTTCCCAGAGATGGGACATTATGTATAATTTAAACTTACAGGCAACATCCCTTTAGTGATAAACTTGTAATGAAATACACTAGGTTCTTGCCTATGACAAAATGAGAGGAAAGTAGAGAATTCCATTATATAACCCAGCTTTCCTTACTATTAACATTTTGCGTTAGTGTGATACCTTGTTATCATTGGTAAATCAATATGATATTCTTACTAGCTACAGTGCACTCATGTATTTGAGTTCACTCTTGGTGTGGTACACTCTATGGATTTTGACGAATATATAATGACATCTATCCACTAGTACAGTATCAGACGGAATAGTTTCACTGTGCTAAAGACCAAGGGAATTTTTTTTAATTCAAGGGTAGTTGATTTACAATGTTAGTTTCATGTGTACAGCAGAGTGATTCAGTTATACACATATATACATATCTATTTTTCCTTTCTAGATTCTTTTGCATGATATGTTATTACAAGAAATTGATTATAGTTCCTTGCGCTGTACAGGAGGTCCTTGTTGTTCATCTATTTTTATATATAGTAGTGTGTATCTGCTAATCCCAAACCCCTAATTTATCCCTCCCCCTGCCCTTTCTTCTTTGGTAACCATAGTTTGTGTTCTATGTCTGTGAGTCTATTTTTGGTTTGGAAATAAGATTTATATCATTTTTAAAGATTCCACATGTAAGTGATATCATATGATATTTGTCTTTGTCTGACTTACTTCACTTAATCTGATCATCTCTAGGTCCATCCATGTTGCTGCAAATGATATTATTTCATTCTTTTTATGGCTCAGTAATATCCCATTATGTGTATATCTATATCTATATCTATATCTATATCTACATCTATATCTATATCTATACCACATCTTTATCAGGGGGACTTTTGGAAAGCAAACTCTGAATGGAAATCTATAAAAGGGCACACATGATGCATGGACAGCTGGATGAATTTTTACAGACTGAACACCCCTGGGGAAGCAGTACCCAGATCAAGCTTAGCTCCCTAGACACCCCCTTGGACCCAATCCAGTCCTCCCCACCAAGGGGAAGCACTATCTTGGCTTCTAATCCCTAGGTTACCTTTGTCTGTGCTTGAAATTCCTATACATGGAATCACGTGGTGCATGCTCATTTGCATCTGGTTTCTTTTGCTTGATACAAGGTTTGTGAGATTTCTCCCTGCCGCCAGGAGCCTTGAGATCAATCTTGCCCATTGCTCTGCATCCTCCCTGCGGGGGGAAGTCTCCACAGTGCATTTACCCGCCCTCCCGTGGCTGAGCACATGGGTTGTTTCCAGTTTGGGGCTATCATAAATAAAGCAACCATGAACCTTATGTTGGTGATCTGATTCTTACATTTCTGTTCAGGGAGCTACCAGGAGTGGAACTGCCAGGACAGAACCATAAGGCATGTCCAACCATCAAGGTGAATTTAACCAGTGGGTGTCATGGGGCTGCAGAAGGCATACGTGAGGTATTGCTTTCTCACCTGAATGCCTGTACTGTCCTGCTGGACTTTGGCCCCTGCGCCGACTCAGCAGCAGGGACTGCTGTGTAACCCAAGGCAACTGGCATCAGGTGGGTGGGGAGGGTACAACTCAGTGCTAGAGTGAGTGCTCAGCATGCACGAAGTCCTGGGTTCAATCCTTTTTTAAAAAATTAAATAAATAAATAAACCTAATTACCTCTCCTCAAAAAAACAAAACAAAAAACTAAGTCAGCTGGCATCCATCTTCTCTCAGGACCCTCCAGGGACTCCCTGGCTCAGAGAATAAATCTGTCCCCATCCCTCTGGTCTCTGACCCCCTCTTTGGGTTTCTGCCTTTAGCTTGTCCCACCAAAAGATACCAGCATGACCTATCCACAGGTCCTGTATGACCTGATCCCAGTTCACTCTCTGCTTCACCTCCCACCCTCTCCCGCTTGCTCACTCCATCCTAGACACACTGGCCTCCTTGCTGATCCTCACACACACCATGTCCACTCCTGCCTCAGGGCCTTTGCACTTGCTGTTTCCTCTGCTTGGACCACTCCCCATGGCGTACTTCCTCACTGTGTTTTCCTTTCCTAGCCACTCTATTAACAGGGCGTTGCCATCACTTGCTATCCAGATGGCAGAGCTGTCTGGCTGGCTTGTTTACTGGGTCCAGGCTCCTGGTTTTAATTTTTGTCTCCAGAAATGACCTCAAACCCTGCCAACCCCAGAGCACCCTCATCAAATGCCTTGTCTCCTCCCCACCTAACTCCCAGCATGTTTGTCTCCCAGTCACAGCTCCCAATTCCTCCCCTAGGTCCCTGTCACCCCCTCAGAGAGACACACACATGAGGCCCAGCACTAGATTTTATTGCCTTCTTGGCAGAGAGAAGGCATCCTTTGGGCAAGTGCTTGGGGCCCGGCCAGTTCAAGGCACCCGGGGGAGTGTTTCTCATCTGTGTAGTGTGAGGCTCAGATTTGGATCTGGGGGGTTAGTGGAGGCTGAGCTTGATGTGGGGAGCCTTAGTCTGAGCTGGGAGACTCTGGCAGTGAGAGATGGGTGGTCCTTCACCCTTCAGGTCTGTGAGACCCTTGGCGGGGCTGTGGTGGCCCAGGGAGAGAAGCTGACCCAGTGGGTCCAAGAGATCCCAGGGGCAGGGGGATGCTGGGGGCTGTGTCCACATCCTGCAGAGCTGGACCGGAGAAGGCCTGGCCCCTGGGGCCCCTCCATGGGTTAGCCCATGGGGCTACGAGGCTGCACTGGGCGTGCTGGGGCTCAGAGCTCATCGTGGTGACGTGTCAGGTCCTCGCCGTAGTTGGTGGCCTGGCTGCCCACGAACATGTTCCAATTGCCCAAGATCTCGGCCTTGCTCAGACGCCCATCCTGGAGGGGGAATCAGAGGTCAGCAGGGATGACAAGGGGCCCTGCCTGCGAGACCCCTCTGAACCTAAGTATGGTTCTCAGGTCTCCATCCCCTTCTCTCTGGATCTCCATTCCTCCTTTTCTCCCTCCCCACCTCGATCTCTCTGTCCCTCTTTCTTCTTCAGCCAAACAGGGACCCCCAAAGCTCCAGACCCAGGACTTGGTCATTTCTGCACACCCAGCTGGCATCATCCCCCATCCGCACACCTTGTCCGTGTCGCTCTCGTGCAGCAAGTGGTTGGCCTCTACCAGTGGCTGGTCCTGGGCGGGGGGCAGCACCCAGTGGCCGACCTCACTCCCATCCAGCCGCCCGTCCTTGTTCAGATCACGGAAATCCCGAAACTGCTCCCGCTCCGTCTGCACCCAGGCCGGCTCCTCCTCCCCGGGCTCGGCTGAGTACAGATCCGCTGGGGTTGGGGGCACAACATCGTGACATCAGAGACTCACACTTCTTGACCCTGGGACCTCTGGCCACTCACTTCACTTTTGTTTGCCTTGGTTTCCTCTTTTGTTTAAATGGGATTAACAGCGAAACCCGACTTAAAGGTGATCATTAAGCTGCATGTGAAATTGACTTCATTGACTGATCAATCATTGGCTTGATTGAATCATCCATCAATCTGAATGATGCACACGTGGAAGTAGCATGTGCATCCTGTGATGCAGGGCCCGGCACACAATAGGCGCTCACATGAAGGAGGAATGAGTGAAGACTTTTCTGGCCAGGTAACAGGAGGTCCTCTAAAACTATACTTTGAACAGCTCACCACACTCAGAACCCCTTTGAAAAACTCTTCTTTGCCCCAGGAGCCCATCAATGGATTTGGAAGACATTACAACCTGACAAGTCCTTTTATACCAGACACAAAGCCAGTATGATTAGGACAGAATTGCCCTCCTCTCCTTAGGGGACAGTCCAGGGAGCTGTCACAAGGGTGTCATCAAAGATAGAGTCTCTACCCAGCACTGGTACCTAATTACCCTTCAAGTTTCTTTTTTTTTTTTAATGGTCCTAAGTCACCATTTCTTTTCTTTTTCCTTGTTAATAGAGGTACTGGGGATTGAATCCAGAATCTTGTGCATGTTAAGCATAGGCTCTACCACTGAGCTCTACCCTCCCCCGGAAGTTCTTTCTTACCAAAGAAAGAGAGAGAGAGGGAGACTGAGACTTCTATCTTCCTCAAAGATATAAAAAAATAAATTATGCTTAAATAAAATACCTGCAGGTTTGTCCCACAAAAGCATTCTCTAGAAAAATGTTTTCAAACTTGAAAAACATCCATGCTTAATAGCCTTCCCTTCAACCAAATTCTTTGCCCTCTGAGGGCAGGGCCCAGAGGCAGGACCAAGGGGAAATTGGGGGGTGTTGTGAGGGTTCCCTAACATCCCGAATAACAGGAGATGCATGCAGCATTTACTGTGTAAATGCAGGTCCAAGACAAGTTTCCTGACTTCCTACCCAGACCAAACACAGCCCCTGAGCCCTGACTTTGTAGAAACGCCAGACCCTCCCAGGAAGGGACAGGCCTGTGATATTCCCTGCTGTATCCTCAACCCCTAACATACAGGAGATGCTCAAGAAGTGTTTCCTGGCCCTGGAACACAGTAGGTGCTTGATAAATGCTTTTTCGATCTGGCACGCAGAAGGGACTCAGTAAATATCTCCCAGGCCTGGCAGTCACTAGGTGTTTGATAAAGATTTGCTGGGCCCAACAAATACTCATGCTCAGTAAATGTCTCCCTGGCCAGGCAGGCAGGGGATGCTCAGTGAATGTTTGGTAGACGCATGGACCCCTGCAGCGCCCCTGCCCTGACTTCAGAGGGCCTTTGCTATACATATTTATCGGCTGCCACTCATGCTTGGGAGAGGACAGGCATCCTTGGGGAGGGAATCAGATCCCACTCACCAATGTATTCCTCCACTTGCACGTAGCCATCTTTGTTCTTGTCCAGATCCTCCAGGGTTTCCTGGGGGGAAAGCGGTATTGGCTCCCGAGGGGGCTGGACCCTGGCGTCAGGCTGTGAGGTTCTCTCTGGGAATCTGGTTCTGGGGTGGCCACGGGCCAGACAGTGGAGCAGTCCCTACAGGGCGTAATTCTCCCTGGGGGCGCATGGAAGATCTGGGGACTTCCTGGGGTATCATAAAGATGCGGGCCCTGCCTGCACTTAGTGGGTGGGAGCCAGGGAACCCAAGTGTCCCATTGGTTCACACAAAGAGCCATCCTGCCTCCCTAACATCTTTACCGGGAACATTCTCTAAGCTGGGGGAGGGTATAGCTCAGTGGTAGAGTGCATGCTCAGCATGCATGAGGTCCTGGGTTCAATCCCCAGTACCATTAGGAAAAAAATTCTTGGAGAGAAGATAACTGTTTCCTGAGGTCCTTTTTCAAACCTTACATCCGCCACTAAAATAAATAGTAAATAAACCTAATTATCCCCCCCAAATAAAATAAAATAATAAATAACAGGAATTTTGATATGTAAGTACTGTAGAGTTACCAGATTTAGCAAATAACACAGGACATTCAATTACACTTGAATTTATAACAACAAATAATGTAAATGACAAATGATTCTTTAGTATAAGTTACCCCACATGATATTTGAAACTAACATGTCCCATGCAATATTTAGGATTAGTATAAGTATGTCCCAAATATTATGTGGGACATACTTATACTACAGGATGCTGAGTTGCATTTGAATTTCAGATAAATATCCCCAAAAATATTGTGTGGGACATATATTAAAGAATCGTTTGTTATTATTTGTTATTCATACTGCTGCTACCACTACTACTAAGTTATTATTTATCTGTTGTTCATCTGAAAGTCAAATGTTACTGGACTTCCTGTATCATATCTGTAAACCGTTTTAAAACGTTGGAACTTGACTTTGCTGGAGTGTCAGGTGCCTGTATCGTCTTACAGTGAGTGATTTTGAAGGTAAAGGTGGGGAACACAATATGAAAACATACGCATATGCATGACTGGGACACTGCTGTGCACCAGAAATTGACACATTGGCATTGACTGTATTTCAATTAAAAAAAAAATTAAAAGTGGGGAACAGAAGGTGTTTGCTCAAGAAGAAGAAAAAAAACACAAGAGAAGAAGTATTGAGTATATGTCAAAACGGTCCGCCAAGAACATCATACTGATACAGAAAACAGAGTTACCTGCCCTCCAAGGGTTTTTTATTGTCGTTGTTAATGGAGGAACTAGGGATTGAACCCAGGACCTCATGCATGCCAAGCACACACTCTACCAGTGAGCTATATCCTCCCTCTGCCTGGTATTTATTGTAAGTAACTTCCCTTAAGTTTCCTCTTTATAGTACAGTCAGGGCTAATATTCATGTTTTGAAATCCTATGTGTGGGGAGCTTATGCTCACAATTCACTGACAGCTGAGCTTAGGTCAGGGTTCGACAAAGTTTTTCTGTAAAGTGCCGGATAGTAAATATCTCGGATGTGGTGTTGTACACTTTCTGTCAGAGGGACTCGACTGTGCAGTTCTAGGGTATGTAAACAAGTGGGTGTGGCTGTGTTACAACAGAATTTCAAGGGCAAAACCGAGCTGTGGGCTGGATTTGGCAGCAGGTGACAGTTTGCTGATCCCTGGTTTAGACCATGGTTTCCAATCCTGGGTTCAAATCCAGACTGTGCTACTTCTTGCCCGCATGACCTCACCTCTCTGTGCTGAGGTGTCCTTATATGTAAATGAAGATGACAACCCACCCCCATCGGGTTGCCATGACAATTAAATAGAGATGATACAGGTAAAGGTGTTAGAAGAGTGCCTGGCACACAGGAAGGGCTTAACTACTCTAGAAATTAAAGTCTAATAAAAAGAAGAAGTTAGGGGCCAGCAGGAATGGCCTCAGAGTGGACACTCCATGCCTGGGATTGGGATTTTCCTGGGGTTCAGCCAGGATGGAGGCTCCCTAAGGCACTTTTGGGGGATGTGGTTTTCTGAAGGCAGAGTGGGTGCCTGGAACCCAAAGTAGAAAGAGGGAGGCCAGACCAGGAGATATAAGACACTGGGGATCTGGGAGGTGGGAACGGGAGGTGTTGCCCATCCCACCACTGATCTGGGACCCCTGAGGAAAGTGTGGGAGGACCAGATGCCTGGATCCCCCAAGGTAAGCACTGGTGGGGCTAGTCCTGGCATCAGAAGCATGGGTCCGGGGAGGGAGGAGGGAAGGAGGGTTCCTCTGGCCCCTACTCACAGCGATCACAATGTCCCGCATGTGAGGGAACTCCTCAGGGTGCAAGAAGGCCGTCAGTTCTTCCCGAGTGGCCACTGAGTCCCCATCCTGGTCAGCCACTCGGAAACGCCGCTCATCCCGAGCTAGCATCTTCTTGTAGGTTTCTGCATCCTCCACATCGTGAAATTCTTCACCTAGGGAAGGAGGGATCTCGGTGAGACGTGCTTTAAGACAAAGGGATCATATATATATGCATGACTGGACATTATGCTGTACACCAGAAACTGACACATTGTACCTCACTATACTTCAGTTAAAAAAAAAGACAAAGGGATCTGACTCTAGTCAGGGCAGGGAGACCTCCGCTGAATTAATAATAATTAATAGTAGCTACCTTGTAGTGAATGCTTATTTTGTGCTAAGCTCCTTATCTACAAAAAATCATTTGATTCTCACATAAATCAGGTAAAGTGGGTTATTCTATTTATTCTCACTCTATGAAGGAGAAAACTGACTTTTAGAGAGAGGAAATAACTTGCCCAAGGTCATGCAGCCAGGAATGATGGACTTTGAGTTGACACTGACCCACGGGGCCCTGAAGTCAGGCTCTGATGCAGTATACTGACTCAGGTTGCTGGACAGAGAGGAGAGGAAGGGCATTTTCAACAAAGGGAACAGTGTGTGCTGAGTGTAGAGGTTTAAAAAGCATGGGGAATTCAGGGAAATTGCAGATCTATTTAGCTGCGGCAGAAAATGAAGAAAAAGGAAGCCAGCTGGGCTGAGGAGCTGAGACTTCTTCCTGGGGACCCTGGGGAGCCATGGGGGTTTATGAGCAAGAGGAAGTCAGAGTAGCTCTGAGTGTGGAAAGATCCCTCTGGGAATACGTGAGGGACAGGCTGGAGGCTGGGATGAGGGTCCAGGAGGGAGAGAACAAGCGATATGGGGGCCGAGGGTTGGGGCGGTGGGAATCCAGAAGGGGAAGGGAATCCAGATTCAGAGGTGGAGTAAAGGGCTTTGGGGTTCTCAGGAAGAGAGGTCAGAAGTCAAGGGTCAGGCTAATAGGGCTTGGGAGGTAGAAGTCCCTGGTCAAGATCCGAAGTTCCCCAGTGGGGATGTCAGTATGAGAAGCGAGAGATCAGGAACTGGGGGCTTCAAGTCCTAGAAGTGGGTAGACCCTGGCCAAGCGATGGAGGTCAAAGGTCAGGAATCTAGTTAACCAGCTTAAGGTTCTCAGGATGAGGGTATCAAAAAGGTCCGAGCCATGGTGTGTGTGGGGAGCAGAGTTCGGGTCTCGCCGCGTACCAGGCTCGTAGTGGCCGTAGGTGGCGTTGCGCAGCTCCTCCCAACCTACACGCCCGTCACGGTCAGTGTCGTATGTGTTCCAGGCCGCGCTCACTGAGTCCCTTATGTGCCGCTGCTGCGTGTGCGCGATCCACGCGCGGAGCTCGGTCAGCGACACCCAGCCGTCCCCATCCCCGGCGCGGTCCATGCGGTCCACGATGCGCCTGCGAGCCGGGTGGAACACCCATCAGTCTGGGGCTCCGCCCACCCTGGTTCCTGCCTTCCTACAGGCACTCGAGACCCCCCCCCAACCAGGGCTGAAAACGCTGTCTACGAATCACGGGCAAACTTGGTGGAGGTGCCTGTCTATCCTGGAACCACGTCCACCTCAGGGCTCCGCCTCCTCAAACCCGGCTTGGGGTAAGGACCTATGACAATCCAGAGTCCACCCTCCACTTTGGCCTCACCCTCAACCCCGCACGTGCTCCATCTCTGGCTTGAACGAGTTGGGCGGGGGCAGGGGGCGGAGAGTTGCATCTCGCCCCTCGCCTGCAGATCCTCTGCTCCAGGACTCACTCTGAACTCCGACTGCCAAGGCCGCATATTCCCTGAACCTCTCGCCGTCTCGGGCCCCGCCCCTTTCTACTGGCTGTCAGTTTTCAGACCCTTCGCTCTGGCCCGCCCCCTCCCTGGCCGCGCGTGTCAATTTCTGGCCTCTATTTCTGCAGCCCCGCGGTGCTCTGCGACTCACCCTTTCCCCCTAGTTTTCCCAGCCGTTATCACGCTTTGCCCTACGACCACCAGCCGCAACCCTGCGGGCTCGGTCTCCAGCCATTCCTCCTCGTGCTCCAGCCTGATTCTGTGCACCTCGGCGTCGCAGGTCAACTTCATACCCCTTCTCTTGGGCCACGCCTGTCGCTCGGCTCCCAGGTCCTTTCCCTCTCCCCTGTCAACGCCCCGCCGCTGCTCTGTTTCCTTGCCCAACTCTAACAGAGCCCTCCTTCCTGTCACTGTCCCAAAGCCCCCCGCGACCCAGTCCCCCAGGTCGAATTCGAGAAGGCCTTTGCCCAGGTCGCTCACCCCTCCTTCCTGTGCTAGGCTGTCTCTGCTCTGATCTGTCGGGGTCCAGCCACCCTGAGGTTCCAGCTGTGATTAAGAGCTTGGGCTCTAGAGCCAGTTATTTAGGTTCAAAGTCTGCCACCTCTTCTTACTGGCTGTGTGGCTGTGGGCAAGTCACTTAACCTCTCTGTGCCTCAAACTCCCTTTCTGTAAAATGGGAATAAGTAATAGAACCTATCCCACAGCATAGATGTGAAGATTAAATGAGTTAAGCCTCGTAAAGCACTTAGAACAGTGCCAGGCATTGTAATAAATGCTATGTCAAATGTGTGACCATATCACTGCCTTTCTTCCCCTATTCCTCCTTCACCCAACCCCATTTGTGCGCAATATCCTAGCCAGCAGACCTGACCACCACAGCTATCCCCACTCTGAATCTGGCCACCCCAGTCTCTTGTCTCCCACCTGGACGATTGCTGTCACTTCCTCACCGGGCTCCCTGCTTCTTGCTCCCTATATTCTGTTCCCTGCATGGCAACCAGAGGGATTTTTAAAACCCAAGTCAACTTACATCCTCCTTCTGCTCAGAGCCATCCTGTGGCTCTCATCTCACTCAGAGAAAAGCTTAAATCTTCACTGTGGCCCGAAAGACCCTACACAATCTGACCCCTTGGTTCCTTCTCTGCCGTCACCTCCTACCCTATCCCTGAGCTCACTGGGTTCCAGCCACACAAGGGCCTCACTGTTCTTTAAACACATCAGGACTACTCCTACCTCAGGGCCTTTGCACTGCCCCCCTCTGCCTGGAGTGCTATGCTCCTATATACCCACGTGGCTCAGATATTACCTTCTCACTGAGGCCTCCCCCATCTCCTTTTTTAAAATTACAACCTTGACTCCTCCTCCCTCCTCCATCTCTCTCCTACCCTAGACGGGCTTGGCTTTCCTCTGGGCTGAGTTGGTCGAATTCCTTGGCCACTTCTCGTCCCAGAAAAGCCTCGTGGTCATATTGGAAGTTCCCGTGAGCGTCATCATGAGGGGCCTCGCTCAGGGGGGCCGCCTGGTGCACCCTCCCCTGGCCATGAGGGCCAGCGTCAGGAGACGGCTTCCCCTCGGCTCCGCGCCTAAGCAGCAACAGCAGCAGTAGAAGTGACGGTCGCCACATCATCAGTCCCTGAGGAGTGGTGGAGGCTAGGAGTCAGGGGTCACAGAAAACAGGACAGAGACAGGACAGGATGATGGGGTGGGGGAAACACAGACAGGATACAGAGTTGAGAGCTGGCTGCAAAGTTTGGGGCTCAAGAAGGGAGGGGATGCGGAAAGGTGAGGCGGGGTTCTCAGAGGTAAAACCAGCTGTAGGGATCGAATCTTCTGAGGAAGCCCTAGAGGGGTACCAGAGCCACAAGTGGGTAGGTTCCAGCGGGAGACGTGGCGCACTTCCCGCGCATAGTTCAAGGCGGAGTCGTGGCTAAAGAGAAATCATGCAGGCTCCCGGGCGTCGCTTTCAGCCTGGACCCCAATCCTCCACCCAAGCGGACCCGAACATCCCCCCTGGACAGGCCACGCACCCCCGCCTCCCTTTACCCCGTTAGGCAGCTTCACTTCGCTATGTTCCACTCTGCGTTCTGCAAAAAGATGCCCAATTTGGCGGCTCTCCAGCCAGGCCCCG